GAAGGGACAGATTTTTGTCTTCATGTGCAGATTGACTCAACCTTGTATTCATTGTTTAGTGTATATTAGCCTCCTGCCTCACCCCCATCCAGCGTTGAGGCTCATACCTCAGTTCCCCATATGTCTGGAGTGGTGCTGGGTAACCATCATTCAGACCCTGAACCCACAGTTCACAGTTCTGTGGGTCGTTACCATCATTGTCACCTTATGTCATTTGTAATTTTCAGTGTGACTGTCCTGTCAGCAGTTTTTTCATAAAGCTGTTGCACTCTACCTCTCTTTCCTCAGTGCCCCTGTTTTGAGGCTAGAACAGAAGGCTTCAGCCCCTGTAGTCTGTGATCAAGTTATTCCATGTTGCATTTTTTTTTTATGGTGGACAAAGCTGCATTGGATCTTGGCTCAAGATTCTGCCATTTACTAACACTCATTTCACCATTTTGCTTTCATTCACTCTCTCACCACTTCAAGTCAGAATACTGAGGTATTTGGTTCCTATCAACCAAACTATGTGGGGTCATATCCCAGAAGACTAACTTTTTCAACATTCACTGCAGTGATAACCTCAAATTTCTTACAGCCATAGCCATGATAAAAACAAGTTCAGATGTGATCCTTTCTTGTAAGAACTCTACGCTTTGTATCGTTTGTCCCTTGCCATGTTATTTACAGAGTAATAACCTATATTTAATGAGGTTATGTTTGTAATGCGTTGCAAAACACATTTTTGTTGTGAAATAAGTTTGCAGCCACAGACCAAGACAAGACACAGGACTAGCCAAACAATGTATCAGCTTGGGACTACCAGGATCCTGGAATTTGTCCGTCATCTAGTATGTCAAACAGAACGCAGCATTTTGGAAACTGTCGGTTTCCTTCCGCTGTTGAAAAGGCATGGAAGTGTCTACTCAGTTCGGTCTATTTGAGCTGAGCTTGATCACTGAACCCAGCCAGATTTACACCAAAAATGGAAATAGAGCCAGTTCAGGATTCTAGATGGTGGACAAAGTCTGGAAACCTGTAAGCCTTCAGAATTGGTATATAGGCCTGGCCATTACTGATGTACCTCATCATAGCAATATTGTACAGTAGCATGTAAGAGTTGTTAGACCCCAAACTATAAGCAATATAGACGTTTTAATGTTATCAGTGGTCTCCGTCATTATCCCATAAGATTACAGTCATCCCAATTCATGTTGTGTAATTGTTATGAACTACTGCAGCTTCAATTTATATTGCTTTAAGAGCTGGATTTTTAACAGTGGAAAAGATTAGTTAAATTCCATGTGTAAGGGCAGTTTTATTTTATACATATTTTGGAGCTGCTTTGTGAAGTGACAGTTTCATGATATTCCATATGTGCTGTTTGTCTAGGAATGTTGTAAGTTGAAATGTATTCCATGGTATGCTCATGAGTTAGGGGTTGTTAAATCTTGTTGGTGCACCTGTGTAAATAAATCTGATTCGATTGTTTCTGTCTGTTCTTACATATAATACTTATAGTGCATGCATGAAACTTTTATCGTCCATGCCCCTTGCACAGC